TATTCGCTCCGAGCCGATACAGAGGTTGCGCCCCCTCTAGCCAAAATCAGGCAACATTTCTTGCATGTAAACAAACGGTTTAGAACATATATACACACGTATAGCTGCTTGTGATTGGCTGAATAAGACAGCAGGAGAGGATCGTCGTTCTCTCTCTAGCTTGCCAAGTGCCAATCACAAGCAGCTGTACGTATGTATATATGTTCTAAACCGTTTGTTTACATGCAAGAAATGTTGCCTGATTTTGGCTAGAGGGAGCGCAACCTCTGCATCGGCTCGGAGCGAATACTTAGTGCGCCGTCGTCTCCCGTATGAATGTAGCATACGAGCTGGAAACAAATTTGTTTGCATTTATGCTTCTCATCGCTTCTTAAAGACTAATAAGTATTATTCTAAAACTTTTTAGACAATTTACATTTGAGCCCATGGTAAAGACAATGAAAAAGAGAAACTTGATGAATTTTTTCCTCGAAATCTCTGGACACACGCACGGTACTTTTCAGCATAATTATTTTTTTGAATTCTTACACCTTATTATTTGACCAAATAAACTATATGGATTCCGAAAAAATATGTTTTTAATTAGAAGATTTTTGTTCTGAGATGTATCAGGAATATGTGTAAAATTTCTAACTAAAAATGTTTCACATTATATGTCAACACACTACGATGTTTTATTTAGTAAGTCTCGGGCGAAGCCGAGACGGGGGGCTGCTAGTCTTCTATATGAGAAAGAGCCTCGAAGCTATTTTTAGTTAGAATTTTGTTTGCTGGTACATCATCGAGTTTGGAAGACGATTGGAGGTAGTTTCCGATGGACTTTTGTTGAGTGGTATCCTGGTTTTGAGCGCGGGACGCTGCTTGATTGACCGCATTATTTCTGGTCTGTCTGGAGTTCTTGTTTTCCTTGTTGTTACTTTGAGCTGGAGTAGCCTTCAAGTATGTGTTCCGGATTAGAATATCGGAATTTCGTGGAGAGTGAGGGGTATAAGGTGGACGTGGCATTTGGAACATGTTTTCTTTAGGCGTAGGAGACAATACAACTCCTCTTGAATGTACGTTTCCTTGAATCGGTGATCCATCTCTAGAATGTTCTATAGTAGGCGGGTCTGTCAGCCCGCCTCCTGATGGAGCTTCTTTATTAGAGGGTATAGCTGCAGTCGGAAGACTATGCTTTCACGTAAACTTTTATATGATGAAATATTAAATTGTCCTTTGTTAATTAAGGCACCTAACCACCTGTATTTAGATCACAAAACTCGAGTCAACAATCAACTTTCAATAGAACGATTTACCATCTCACCGACGTGTTCACTCAATCGCTGCTCCTGCGAGACTCCTGCGAAGATTTGACGCGTCGTTAAAGGCTGCTTGCGCGGTTTTCGTTTGTTTCCCCTTTCCTGGGACGGGGGGGGGGGACACAAGTGCACCTACGATGTTTGCCTGGCGTGAGTTCCATGTTTTGTGTCACTTACTCTTTTTTTTTTTGATCGCTAACGAAAATTATCAGCAATTTTTCCAATTTTTGTTAAGTTATTACTTAATCAAGGAAATTTAAATGAAAAAACTTGGAATCTTGGAGCATGGCTATTTATTTCATATATTAGTTGGACAATGTGATCCAATATTTCGGAGTCATCCTGACTCCCTCTTCAGGGAACTGTACAATTTACAATATTTATAATATAAAAAACATTATGACAAATTACATTAAATGAAAATATAAGTCACCTATGCAGATGCGAACATGAAAATGCCAAACGCAGCATGACTGATAAAGACTAGTCAGTCATAACCACGGCAATGGAATACTAATAATTAAATAATCTTAATATTATAAACTTTATCAGTCAAAATGTATGTACAGTTAAGTTATCTACAATATAAGTCACATCCTGACTCAGCACATGTAACTGGAAGATATTAAAAATAGTAATATGGTGTTAAGGTCTTGTCACCACATAAGGGTGCACCCACGGTCAATGTATGTACAAGGAAACACGGACCAACAGAAACGTGGCCATCAAGTGGCACACCTATCAAGCAACACTCGTCAAGAGCAACGCCACCCATGCATCCTGTCTCTAAGTTCATATAAAAAGGACTTATAATGATCATGTAGTTTATTGGTATCTAGTTTTCTGTTAACATTACGGTTGAAGTACGAAATATATAACATCTCCGAAAATTCCCTTTTAAATTTGTTCTTTTCTTGGTCCAAAATTTTGACTTCATCGAACTTGAAAGTATGGCTGAACTCAGAACAATGCGCGGCAATGACAGAATTTTTATCACACTTGTGAACCATTCTCTTATGTTCGTCAATACGTGTGGCCAACCTGCGCTTACTTTGGCCTACATAGAACAAACCGCACTCGCACTCTATTCTGTAAACNTTCTATGTAGGCCAAAGTAAGCGCAGGTTGGCCACACGTATTGACGAACATAAGAGAATGGTTCACAAGTGTGATAAAAATTCTGTCATTGCCGCGCATTGTTCTGAGTTCAGCCATACTTTCAAGTTCGATGAAGTCAAAATTTTGGACCAAGAAAAGAACAAATTTAAAAGGGAATTTTCGGAGATGTTATATATTTCGTACTTCAACCGTAATGTTAACAGAAAACTAGATACCAATAAACTACATGATCATTATAAGTCCTTTTTATATGAACTTAGAGACAGGATGCATGGGTGGCGTTGCTCTTGACGAGTGTTGCTTGATAGGTGTGCCACTTGATGGCCACGTTTCTGTTGGTCCGTGTTTCCTTGTACATACATTGACCGTGGGTGCACCCTTATGTGGTGACAAGACCTTAACACCATATTACTATTTTTAATATCTTCCAGTTACATGTGCTGAGTCAGGATGTGACTTATATTGTAGATAACTTAACTGTACATACATTTTGACTGATAAAGTTTATAATATTAAGATTATTTAATTATTAGTATTCCATTGCCGTGGTTATGACTGACTAGTCTTTATCAGTCATGCTGCGTTTGGCATTTTCATGTTCGCATCTGCATAGGTGACTTATATTTTCATTTAATGTAATTTGTCATAATGTTTTTTATATTATAAATATTGTAAATTGTACAGTTCCCTGAAGAGGGAGTCAGGATGACTCCGAAATATTGGATCACATTGTCCAACTAATATATGAAATAAATAGCCATGCTCCAAGATTCCAAGTTTTTTCATTTAAATTTCCTTAATTATGGCAAAGGAGCAAGAAGACAGTAGTTTTATTATCAAATATTACTTAATCACGTTATGAGATATTTAATTTGTAGATATGCTATTAGACGCAGAATTTTCTGACGAATCAATTGGTATAAATAACTCATTTTCTACAAAAATGTCGCGTATACCTTTTTTTCCGTTGGACGGCAGTACAGAGGTACCGGAAAAACCACAAAGGTACTCGTGACGGGGCGGGGTCTTATAGCACTACAAAAATCACGAACCAAATAAATAAATTTCTCCTTCTTTTGTGTCAGTAGGTATAAGCATGTGGATTTGGACTCGTTCGGAATGGTGTACTGACGAGCGTATCCAGGTACGCAAGCAACTTTTCATTTGGAACTTTCCAAAGTAATTCACTGAAAACTTTTGATGAATATTTGCTTGTAGAAAGCTAAGGGACATCTAATGATTGTAATCTTATACAATCACTAGTCACACTGACGCACAGTGGCGCCAATCGAGAAAAAAATATTCATAAGTCGAATTATATGCGATTCGGAGATAACACGTTTTATGCAATTTCATTGTCTAATGTATTTATCTTATGAATTTTAATGTCTTATGTAATTTAATAAAAATTAAAATGTAAATCATGGGCTAATGCATTTAGTTTTAACTTTCTTTTTGCAGAAAGTATTCTTGTTTATAATACTGTTTTTAAGAATTCTTTACAATAATTAATCTACTCACTACTTGGATGTTTAATCATGAAATCCGTTTTCAGGAGATTGAAATACATGAGTGAGTGTCTGTGCAACAATTTGGATACGAGAAATGTTATTTACTGTCACCGTCGCCTGGACTACTGAATTGAAGGATTTTAAATAGGGTACTAAAAACATGCATAAGGGGAGCATGTTACATCAAGTATATGCATTTAAAGTAGGAAAACCGTTGAATAACATTAAAGTGTAGGGTTCAAGTAAACGTTTAAGCCTTCGTGAGTTCCAAAAACATTTTCAAATAAATGTGTAACATGCAATTGAAAATTGTAAAAAATGTGATTTTCGAGACTTTGGGAATTTGTTACTCAGAAACTACGCATCACACAAAAAAAAATTAATATAATTATTTTTTGCTCAAAATTGATAACAAAAAAACAATAAAAATTTTTATTTGCACATCCAAACAACTTTTTAATTTGTTAACAAAAGTTGTTAGTAACTTTTTCTTCTCAGGATTTTGACTTTTCACCCTTGAAATTCGTAATCAAGGAATCAAAATACATTGGAAAAACCTTGGTGGAAGTGTTGAGGCCCATCAGCTACAGGAACCTGGTCTCCTTATAGTATATTCCTCGTATTTTTTATTTATGTTTCCTTGTTTTCGTTATTCCTCCTATTTGCACCAATAGAATTCGTTATTCCCAAGTCAGTGTTTCTTGTTTGATGCACGCCTATACGCACCTCTTATTTTAAATCAATAATATTAACTATAATAATAACCTTTAACGTTGTACAATATAAGGCCCAGCATAGGGGAGCAAGTATAGAGGAACAGAATGCGGAACGCGTACGCAACACTGTGTCCCGTCCTTTTTAGCTACAAAAAAGAGAAAAAATTTGTAGAACAATTTTAACATTCTAAGATCTGCTGGATGAGCATTTTTAAGGTAATATTAAAAAAATATTTCTTTTTTTTTCATTTCTACTTTGACTTTAGAGCGTTATTTGATGCAAAATTAGTAGTCACGGCAGTGAAATCCAACTATACTTTAAAAAAGCAATAAAAATGTGTATAGATATTAATTACATTGCTTTTGAGATTATGTACAAAAAAAAGGCGTGAAAAAACGGTTTTTCCTAATTTTGAGTATGTTCTGGCACGAAAATGATTTTTAAAATACCGCAATTCGAAAGAACAAAAAAAATACTTAAAAAAGTATTATTTAGAAGTCAGTCAAAAAATACCTACATAACCTAAAAAGCCATTGAAAGGTTCAAAAAAATTTTCTGAGCTCCAAAAAAATCAGAAAAACCAGTGTATTTATGTTGTAGAATCTACACGTTTTTGCGTCCAGGAATGATTTTTTTCGAAAAAACACGTTTTTTAGGTTAGGAGGCTAGCATTAGCACCCAGAGCAGAGAATATAGGATATAAAGAGATATATTCTATATTCTCTGCTAAGAGGGCTAAAAATTAGCCGGAGGAGTTCTTATTAAAGTACTTTCGAATGGTCAACTCCAATATAAGATCCAGGAAAGTTCCGTTTTTACTATCTTATCCCACTGTATAGCCTTTCAATTTGAAAGCTTCAATATTTTTATTTCCGTGGAGAAAATGCCTTAAATTAATTATGGTTTTAGTCATGGAAAATAGAAAAGGGATGTTATTTGTAAAAAAAAAAAAAACGAATAAAAGATGAGTATTAAATTTTTACTTTTCTTTCAGTTATAGAATGAAAAAAGATTACGGATAAAAGACAGAAAAAAATGTGATAAAAAAAACACATTTTACGTAAACATAACTTTCCATAAACTTATTATTCATATTGATATTTCACACTTTAACCTTATTTATTATTTCATTTCACATACACACACGTTTAAAAAAGAAATTTAGGAACATAGATTACATGCATGTTTCTTAGTCTGGCTTGAAACCACCACAGGTTGGATAGTCCTTCGGCACTGGGGGCATATCTTCATGCTCACCGACTTTGAAAATCAAAGCCATGCCGACGTTGCTGTGCTGCTCAAAGTGACAATGAAAAAACCAGTAACCTGAAATATACACATAAAACAGTAATTACACAAGCACACTCAATTACATAAAATTAAATTTTCATCCTTTTAGTTATTTACACTGCTATTGTCTAAGCAAAGTTACTATTGACCATAAAAAATTTTTATAATTGCTTTAAACACACGTATAGAAGATATTACAAGAAAATTAAAATGCATGTAATATTAACTTATTGTTGGACAATATTTCTTTTTACGCAGAAAATATGGCTAATACTCTAATGAGCAAAATATGTCACCTTGTATACTTTAATTGCACGAAAAAAAAAAATCAAAACCAAATATGCGAGCTCTACTAACCAGGATTATCAGCCTTGAACCTGAAATAAAAAGAAAAAAATTTTTATCTGACGCTATAAATTAAGCCAATCAAATTATCGGATTATAAAGTTGATCAGTATTTCAAGGAGTACCTCACAATAGTGTACCCTCCACCCGGAGCCTTAATTGTATCTTTGTAAGGCGGACGGTCCAATCTCCTACGTATCTTTCCTTCTCGATCTAATTTCTTGATTAAGTCAATGTTAACATTACCTTTTAACTTTTCCTCGGCAACCACGCGAAAAAAGTGCCCGTGCAAGTGCAATGGATGATTTATGATGGCGTAGCGGCCTGGAAATGATCGGGTAATAAAAACTTTAAAAATGCATACGGGAAGAGACTTGCTATGGTTGATTCTGTCGAACGTGGTGTGCTATTAACCTTCGTCAACGAAGACCAGCTCGACGACACTGTTTAGTTTGAGCTGTAGCACGTGAGTGCAAACACATTGGTTCCTGCTACAGCTGGCTGGAATGTTTGTCGAGTTGCAAAAACTGTTTTCCGTTACTTGATCACGCTGTGAGAGCAAGGAATACGATGGCATCTTCATGCTTATATAATTCAATTGGAATGAGCCAATCCTGTGAGATAGACTTACTGAAAAATAGTAACGATTATATGTGTACAGACGAGAATTACTTTTACTCGTATCAGCCGATTTTTTTAGATGTACGTGTAGTTAAACTACCTTGGCGGTACCCGTAGAGACTGTTGCGATGAAAATCATAATTGTCAAGGGGGTAGAAGTCAAAATTTATGAAGAGCTGTTGATCTGGCTTGCGAGTCAAGCACTCGTCGTTCGGATCCATGGATTTCACCAAGGCGATGCTAATGTTCGTCGAATGGGATGATTCGGTGCCGATGTCGTAAGGGTTCAGTACCTAAGGAAATAAACAATTTCGTATACGATTTTATACGATGGTAAGCGCGTTTATTAATTATTTTTTTGATTTTTCATTCTATATTCAATGAACATTATATTTGTTAATACGCTCAAATCTTGTAATTTAGTTGTTGTAATTTGAATAAGATTTATTTTGATGAGAATTAGATTATAGATCAAATATTGGAATGCTCAATTGGATTGAAGTACATAAATGTTGAGCCTGTAGTTTTTTTCTACATTACTATGAAAAAGAAAGATTTGAAAATAATAGTTTGTAAAGTAACAAAATATAAATAAATAAATTACATAATAAAAAATCTTACTCTCGTGTTCTCCGTAGATTCAGGAATACCATATCCGGTTTCAGCTTCGGGATCTCGAAGTGGAGCACCGATGTATCGAAGTATGGCAACTTGATGGACGCCAGTAGTCTCGTTCCATTGGCACTGACCGTAACCACGATATCTAATCCAGTAGTTGTCAATTATCTGATTTGTTTTAATTACAAAATCGACTCGCTCTCCAGGCCAAGTTACGATTGCATCGACTGAAGACGTCAAAGTTTTATCATTTTTAAATTCTAACGAAAACATGGAAAAAAAATTGTAGAATTTGTACCTTCGATCGGCTCAATGTCTTTGCCATCCAAACTGATAACAATCATTGGATGATTATCAATAGACATTTCGATTGGGCAGTCCTCTCCACCCCCATTAATTAGCCTGATTCTGTACCTGAGGCTCTGAAAACTCCAACCAATCGATACAGTTCATCATTTCTGGACCCCATTATACTCACTCTTACGAATAGTACAAGCAAACAGAAATAAACAAAAAAATAATTCTCACTGGTTTTACTTCGAAAGCGGTACTGGGAATGTAAAGTGGTTTGTCGTCTTTCACTCCAAAGTGCTTGAACCGACCGAGACCGTTCACCAAAATCGTCGTTGGATCGACCCCAATCTCGTCGTAATACTGTTTTATGGTCCCAGCTTCGCCATCCATTTGCATCCAATCGTTGATTATCATATGGTGGTCGTCGCACTCGTACACGTACCGATGCCTGTTGTTTCTCGGCAGTGGATGAATGATCAGAGGACCGTAAAGGCCATCAGCTCGCTGAACACCTTTCGATACATACCTTCTATTTCATTGTCTTGGAATATTTATTTATTCATTTTACAATGGTTGAAGTTGTTTTTTTTCCAAGGTTTTAATTAATAAGTACTTACCAATGTGGGAATGCCAGAAGTAAGTCCCTGACACGAGAGCCCTAAAGGTATACTGGAATTTTTCTCCTGGTAAGATTGGACATTGGGTCACAAAGGGAACGCCATCCATGTAGGGTGTGCCCTTCTGATCTATCCCATGCCAATGTATCGAAGTGCTCTCGGCCAACATTGTATTTCTGACTTCGACGATTATCAGATCGTTCTGGCAAACCTTGAGATTTGTTGGATTTAAGTATAACGATGTTTTTTTTTTATTTCGATTACTACTCCATACTTATTACACAGTAGTTAGTATATTAGTCGCTTAACCTGAGGGCTCAAAGGGTAATCAGTTTGAAAAATTTTCGAGGATTTTTTCGCAGATTTTTTAAGCTAAAAGAACTCCTTCCATCTGGTTGGTAAAATGCCACTAAATTATTTATAAAACGAATGTTACAGTTTTCCAAATGATGTAAGCAATTCTGGGAGACTTCATTTTGAAGGGAACTGACATCTGGTCAATTGTATTATCCCAAAGAATGAATGATCGAGTCAACCAAAAAGGCTTTGAATTAAGATTATAATAAAAGTCTTTTGTACCTTCTGCATGAAACATTGGCAAATAAATACTTGTATGCCTCATCTTCGAGAAAAATGTAAAAGGTAAGAAATTCGTTTTAAAAAACGTGTGAAATTGGAACAAGCAATCTACAAACGAATATGGTAAGAGTGTAAAAATACCTCAATGGACGGCCCGGGCAATTGACGATTGGCAACGTAGACGGTCTTTTGCACACCGTCGGCTGGGATGCAATGCGGCCTGAAGCAGTCGGTTGAGTTGTAGGGACAGTCATAGCAAGCCTTGCTCATCGTGCTGTACTTCTCAATGACGAAGACGTAGTTGCAAATCTGCGGCTTCTCGTCGTCCTTGCATGTCCGACGGCACGGGTGGGTCTTCCAGTCGAATCTGTCAGCTTCCAAGCCGAAAAAATTTTCGTCCGCGAATGTGAGCACTGCCTCAGTCGCTGTGCATGGACCACAAAGATATTTGGCGTTGTTTTTTTTTTTTTTTTTTTTTTTTTTACCAAAGGTCGCGCGACAGTTATTGTCGTGTATTTACTTGTTCAAATGGCCAAAACTTACGTATACAGAGTGATGAAATCACGAGAGTGACGAGGGCGCATCGCTTCACGTACATTGTAATTCCTCTGTTAAGCTCCCGGCAAATACATTTAATTGCCGTCGTTAAAAAAATGTGGAAAAAAAAAAAAACTCAATTTTTATTCATACCGCGCGAAGAATAGGTAAGCGAGCAAAACGATTGGTTGGTGGGTACAATCGGTCTTTTATTGCAGAGCAACGGTTAAATGTCGTGGTTTGTATATTTTATGTTGCGTATGTTTTAGATCCCAGCAAGTGCTTAATACCCCTTGGCTTAATGTTAAACGTTGCTTTACTTTTTTTTCCATTTCCAATCATTGAAATACGGTACATCAATTTTTCAGCGTATACGCGTGATGGAACATGTAAACAATTTGAACAAGGCTTTAGCGAATAATCACAGTGTAAATTTCGAGGTGAGATATTAATAAATGCAACATCTCGTTGAACTTCTTATAATTTCTGCGACATGCTGTTCCGATTTTTTTGCGAAAGTTGTTTCAATAAATGTATGGTAAGTTTTCAGATGCTCGGATATCCCCCAGTACTGCGGATGGAACACTTTCGAATGCCAAATCATCCTTAAATACAGCTTGTCACTGATTTATTGTTGCTGTATTCAAGCAAGTTTTTCATAGTTATAACGTTAGCATTATATTTTCCTCAAACGCACAAAAACATTACTATTTGAATCTATATTCATACTTATTTATTCATACAAGATTAATCGGAACAGTTTTTTCACTCGTTACGTGACCGGTCCGGACTGATCATGTGATTCATCTAGAACTCAATAGTTTGAAAATGAGGTTTTAGATACTATAAACGAAATAGTTTCAAATGATTAAAAACACTCGTTTTAAGACAGAAATTTTTTATAGAAAATACCATGTATTTGATTGACGAAGTAGTAAAGCACTTCTGAAATCCGGAGGTATAGGGTTGGCTAGCATAGTGGTTTATCCGTAAAGCAAAAGGAATCCGGAGGATCGAGTTTGACTCCCGCCTCTGATTACTTTTTTCAAGTAGCTGTCTGTTTTTTCCTGTATTGTTGTGATAGTTTTTTGTCAACGGAGTATCATAATGTTGTGACAGTAAGGAATACCTGTACAACATAGCCTATGCCTTGTTATGAGGTGTAGTACTACCGTGCCGTATGTACACAGTGTTGGAGTAATGATTATAATCCCCGAAAATAGTTGACAATATAAAGTTGGCTTTAAACGTGATGGATTAATCTATTACACCAACAAGACTGTGTAATTTTAGTTGCAAGTTAAATTTTTTTTAATTTGCATGGAATGTATGGTGAAAGATTGCCATAAGCTGGTAACATAAAAGAGCTTCAATACAGACGATATACATAACAATCAAAAGAAAGTACTTTGTATGATAATTTTAGGATAGTCAATTTAGATAACTAAAAAAAAATAATCAGTGTGGACAAAACATCATTCAGTTTATGTGGTGTTGCATTACTGAGAATTGTTTGTGTATAAGACATTCTGTACTTTAGCTTATGTCGTGTAATCAATAAATACTCGATTTTTTTGTAAACTAACACTACACTTCCTTAAACTTTTTAAAAGTTCAACTTATTTTGCAAGTTTGGCCAACTTGGAAAAACTTATGCACGGTAACTTATCATAAGTTAGTCCAACTTCAAAATTTTGTATCAGTAGTGACCCAATTGCAACATAAGCAGTAAAAAATAAACATTCAATGATGAGTTAAAGCATACAAGAAATTTTTTTTTAGAGTGGGTGAATAAACAAATTAGAGATGTAAAATAAAATATTTGTATTCATGTTCTAAAATAACTATTCAATTTTTCTCGAAAGCTAAATACTTATGTTTAATTGAAATTTGGAGGTGGGTGTGCGAAGCGTGTAAGAGGGCAACTTTTTTCCCTTTTAATGATATAAAATTTGTATGAACACCACCTTTTTCCACGTAGCTCCTTAGTATCATTTATGTACGCTGATTTATTAATTAATTTTTTTAGGAACCCATTAGATTAATAATAATTTTCTCTGATGAATATGTAATCATTTTTATAAATATAAGTAGAACAAAATTAATCAATTCCAAAAAGATGGTAGACAAAATGTATCATTTCTATGGCACGTTCGTTTTTCATTTATTTTTTGACATATTAAAGTAAAAGCAAGTGTACTACTTTTTTTATCGTCTCATTACGAAGAACGAGAAATAATCATTTTAATATTGACGAAAGCACATAACGAAACTTTAATAAACAGAAAAAGTATAGTAATACAAGTTTAATGATACTATTTGCAGAGCACAATAAAAAAAGTCGTATAAATTCTTTACTTGTTTGCATTAAATTACTTTTCATCAGATGGACAAATTTGCCTTTGAATTGATCACTGTGCATAATCGAGTTTAAATACATTAGTCACGTAGTTCATTTACTTTCAACTTCTTGGTAATGTATTGACACGTCTATCTTATCTTGGCGCATTTAAACAGCTCTGAGAATAATAATATTTGATGTAGGCATTATTTTCTTATCGTTGAAAGAATTTGGTTAAGTGGAGAAAATAATGTTTGGAATGACTTTGCTGAACCGATTCGAACTAAAATGTTACGTAATTTTATGTAATTACGAAACTTTTGAATAAGTAAGAACTAATCATTAGCATTTCAACTAATAATTATACGAAAAATAAAAGAAAAATGACGCAAAACATTTTTGACCTTATTTGTTAAGCTTCCAGTTTAAGAAATATGTTACGAAAAAAACAATACATATAAACATTATGGTCCAAACTGAAAATCCCAATCATAAAATTCTAATAAGAATAAAATTTACCCGAAAGAAGGTTTCAAGATAGATTCAGTGCAAAATTAAACTGTAATGAATTAAAAAACAGTATACCAACAGATAAATTCGAAGAGGAGAATCAAATGTTGATACTGATTTTCAAAATATTAAAAATAATATTATGACTACGGTTCTCATAAAAATGTCTATTGTGATATTGAAAGTAATGCAATAAATAATAAAATTTTAAGTAGTTGTAAAATTCTTAACATTTGAAAAAGTTTAATTAATGTATGAACTTTCTTGTTTTTGAATAGATTTTTTGATACAAAAACTAAATGTTTTTGAGTCACAACTTCTACCTGTTACACAAATTAAAACTAAAAAATAAACAGAACAGTGTATACAATATAAATTTTTGATACGTTCATGGAAAAGTAAAACTGTAAAAATACTAGCCATACGTTAGAACAATGATATACACATATGTAATTTAATACTTAAAAATAAGCTTTGTGATTTACTATTTTTTTGATTGGAAATACGAGTCCAAATTTGATCCTCGGTAGGAAACGCAGTTCCGATTCGAATTGGAATCTGAATTCAATTTTTATTTGATCTACTTTCCGTACTGCGATCAAACTGCCACAACACCATACTAGTCAATACTTATAATTTTGTTCACAACAGATTAATCCAGTCATGAGTCAAAAACATCAAACAGGTGTTAAAAGAATTGTAGCCAACATTGTGATTATTAGATGATTCACTATATTTATTATTAAGTCAGTTATGTTAACTTTGTAATTCTTCTGATTTTTAGTTGTACTCTTATTATTAACATCATTTCCTTCTGACCAGTTCTTTGTAATTATATTTGTAATTCCACCTGTAAACACACTTGTACATACATTTGGAATTCTACTCGGAATTACTTATGGGGTCTTAGTTTGAAGAAGCCATCAGTAGTTCCAAGTGGTATTACAATTTAATTTGATTTTTTTTATCGCCAAAAAAGTTTTAAAAAAACATTTCATGCAGTGTCATGACCTCACTGGGTGTTATCATGGATATGGTAAAACACTAAATCAAAAGGGTTCAAGTATTTTGTCTAGAATTCTAGAAAAATTAATTTTGTAGTTTTTTTTTTATTTTCCTTAAAACTAATTAAATCCCTCTGTTTTGTTGTCACGATACGGATGGTAATACCTAACAAGGTCACCTCACCACTCACGTACATACATAGATTATTGCAATGTGTCATTATATGCGAGGGGATGTCCACTAAGTTCTCCCACCATAGAATTTGTGAGAATGGAAGAGTAGGTACCCGAACAGAAATCTTTTTGAGGCGAACTAGAGGCCCTCTAGAGGATACCTAAATAGCCTATGGAGGACCTACTGAAGCAAAGTAACGCGGCGTACAGTTGCACTGCTAAAAAAATCAGCTGTCCCGAGGGAAATAGTATATTACGTACCAAGGGACTAAAGCAAGCCAGTTCGTGGCTGTTGTAGTGTGCGCCCGAGCGTAGCGAGGGCGCTACAAGCAATAGCCACTCGCTGGCTTGCTTTAGTCTCGCGGTGCGTATACACTTTTATATCACACTCAGCGGAAAGTTCGTTGCATTGAGAGGGAGAGAGATAGAAGGAAAACAAGCCATTAATTGTGTGGTTATAGGTTATATCACTAAAGTTTTTATAATTGTTTCCGATTGTGATATTTAGGACATTCCTGTATTTTTGTATAAAATATGGCAACAGTTTCGACAGTCATGTTTCAAGAGGATTCTTCTGACGAAGAAAACTTTAACGAGGATAAAGTAGGGGAAGGAAGAGACTTTGACTGTGAACGAAATGCCATTGTTCAAAATTTACTTCCCATAAAATCGAGAGCATTATATGAATATACATACGCTCGATTCTTACAATGGAAGCATAAAAACAAGGACCTAATTATTTAACTCTTTTAATGTATGTGTTTCGAAATGTAATAATTTCAATAGTTTATTATACAAGATTGATAAAAATGAAGAACTGTAAAAATGCAGTTATTATTTAAAAATGTGTGAACAAAGAAAATTGTATAACAATTTTAATTATTTCCATTTGTTCAGAATCTCATGTTTTTTTTTGTATAAAATACACCAGCAAACAGTACATTGGCTTCTTTTATCTTGTTGATATTTCCCAAATTTGTTTGTTTACTGCAGTGTGGCGCCCTCGCTATGTTCGAGCACCGAACTACTTCA